CTTTTGCTATGTTAAAAGTTGAGTTCAAGGCCAGCCTGGGGTATATGAAACCTGTCACGAAACAAAACACACAGAAACCAACCAACCAACCAACCAAACAAACAAACAAAAAAACCTTAATATCTAGGATATGCAACAATGCTTATAGAATAGTGGGATGACCCAGGACTCTTTAGGAATTAAGCAACGAGACCAAGACAAAACAAAACAAAATAAAATTCCAAAATCAAACAAACAAAAAAGATGCCACCCTTAAAATAGGGAGTACCAGCCAGGCAGTGGTGGTGCACACCTTTAATCCCAGGATCTGGGAGGCAGAGGCAGGTGGATTTCAGTCCAGTCTGGTCTACAAACTGAGTTCTAGGACAGCCAGGGCTACATAGAAAAACCCTGTCCTGAAAAAGCTAAAACAAATAAATAAAATAAAATGATATGTTTATGAGTGTTTTTCCTGCATGCATATGCACCAAAGCCATACTTGGTGCCCTTGGCCCTAGATCTTCTGGAACTGGAGTTAAAGCAGTTGTGAGCTGCCATGTGAGAACTGGGAACGGAACTTGGGTCCTCTGCAAATGCAGCAAGTGGTCTCAGCCGCTGAGTCATCTCCCTACTTCCTCTTTTTTTGAGGTAAGGTTTTGCCATGGAGTCCAGGATGGCTTGAGATGCTCCTGTGTCAGGCTTCAGAGTGTTGGGATTATAGGTGTCAGCCATCATAGGTAGGAAGGCCCCAGGCTGGGAGATGTATGCATATGTGTGTTGTTAGCAAGGTGTGTGTACACGTGAATGAATGAGTGTGGGGGTATCTTTCCTCTTCCATCTTTTTATGTTTTGAGACAGGGTATCTCATTGAAGTGGAAGCTTATGGGTCAAGTTGATGAGTAATGGGCTTCAGGGGTCCTCCTGTTCCCCTCCATGACTCTCTCCCAACACCTCCCCTCCATGTGGAGTTACAGGTTCCCTTGCCTCTGCAGTAGCCACTTTACTGACTGAGTCGTCTCTTCAGCCACACAGTTTGATCTAATTGGTCCTAAGATGAAGATGATCTTGCTCTTCTTTCTCCTGTCTCAACTTCTCTACCTGGCCTGGGACTATTCAAAACCAGGGACTATACAAGAGCTCCTGGGGTAGGTAGACTTCTGTCTCTTGAGATTTTGTTTTTAGAGATTCACAGGCATTTCCATGTGCAGCCTGAGTGGAAAACAACTTTTGAGTTAACGGCTGTGGAACTGTCAAACAGCTAGGATCACAAGTTTGCATTGCAGGGACATGCACAGACAAGTAGATGGGGTTTGTGTCACAGCCAACATGCCAGTGCCAACACCAACCACAGCCACTTCTACACTGCTGCTAAGGAACCCTCTTTCTCCATCCATCTCCAGATGACCATATACAACACTGCTCACACCTGATCCACAGGGAGGAGGGAACTATGAAGTATCAAAACCAACACCCCAGAACTCTAGCTAAGGGCTTTGAGAAAACGTTCTGAAGCAACAGCTTGCTGCTCAGGGCAAACCTCACTGAGACCTGCTAGATGCTACTTCACAATCTGTTTTAGTAACTTTGGCTGTACAATTAAACCAGGGCTGAGGTATAGCTCAGTGATAGAGTGCAGGCTTAGTATGTGTGAGACCCTTCATTTGATTTTCCAGTACTATCAATACTAACAAAAAAGTGTGCATAATTAATGTAGTTAATGAAATGGTTCTATTTGCCAAAAATAACGAGATCTAATGAGCAAATATTTGTAACATGCTCTGTTGCATGGTGATGCATTTATGCCTTGGATTCCTTTAACCTCAGCACTGGAAGTAGAGGAAGGTGGATCTCTTGAGTTTGTGGCCTGCTTGGTTTACAGAGTGAGTTTCAAAACAGCCAGGGCTATATAAAGGAACCCTGTCTTAAAAAAAAGAAAAGAAGAAACAAATGGATTGGTGGGTGAGTCTGCTCAGGGGGTAAAGATGCCTGGAAATGGCCTGAGTTTGATCTCCAGATCAAACTCACAAAGCATCCCACAAGTTGTCCTTTGACCTCTGTGGCACAAACACATTCACCCCCATCTCCAGACCTTCCCCACTAAAATAACTGTTTAAAACACACACACACACACACACACACACACACACACACACACACACACACACGGTCAGCGACACATCTCAGTGAGTAAAGGCACTGCTGCCAAGTCTGACAATTGGAGTTCTGTCCCTAGAACCCACAAGGTAGGAACAACAAGTTCTTTCAAGTTGCCCTCTGATCTCCACACACAAGCTGTAGCATGTACACACAGACACATAAGTAATTTAAGGGAAATTCTAATAAAACTAAGCTCTGGTTTGTTAAACCAGAGCAAACCCCAAAACCCAAGAGCGCCCCAATGACTGACAGCTAATCTGGAAACTGCTTAAACAGATTTGCTCCTGCAGCTCAGAGATGCTCTGGCCTCTGCCTATTCAGTCTAGTTTGTTCACATTTGAGTTTCTGTGAAACAGTGATCCCTGTTCTTAATAAAGCAGTTTCTTCCCCTGAAGCCAGCCAGTTCTGATGTTTGTGGCCATTAAAGGAGGCTGTACATAATGAAATAACCAATGTAATGCACCTCACAATATGTTTTGTGGAATGTCATGGGCCAGAGGTGGTGGCCTGTACTCCAGGAGGCTGTGGGAGAACACAGTGGGTTCCAGGCTATCTTGGATTACATAGATTACATAGAAGATTCCAGGTCAGCCTGGGCTGCATAGGGAGACCCTCCCTTAATATAAGAATCAAAGCCAAACATAAAGGCTTAGACCTGTCATCTCAGCACTTGGGAGGCTTAGGTTTAAGGCTAGCCTGGGCTACAATAATGAATTCTAGACTAGCTTGAGCTACAGAGACCTTGTACTCAAAAGCTAAAAGAGGGATAGCATAGTGGCACACACCATTACCACCTAGGAAACAGAGACACGCAAATATAAGTCCCCAAGTTTGGGCCAACCTGGTCTACATAGTAAGTGCTAGGCCTGCCAGGGCTACATAATGAGACCTCTTTCCCAAACAAGTCAGGTCTGGTGGCACAGGCCTTTAATTCTAGCCCTTGGGAAGCAGGCTGATCTCTGTGAATTCAGGCCAAGGCCAGCCTAGTTTATACAAATGAGTTCTGGGTCAGCCAGGACTAAATAGTGACAGACCCTGTCTCTCTCTCTTTTTTTCTTTTTGGTTTTTCAAGACAGGGTTTCTCTGTGTAGCCTTGGCTGTCCTGGAACTTGCTATTAAAGACTTGTGCCACCACTCCCCAGAACCCAAAGAACAAACAAAATGGGAGACACAACTCAGAGGTTTGAAGGGCACTGGTTTTTCTTCCTGAGGGCCTGGGTTCAATTCCCAGCACTCACATGGTGATTCACAACTGTCTATAACTTCAGTTCCAGGGTATCTGATACACTTTTCTAACCTCTTTGGACACCTGCCATGCAAGTGGTACACAGACACACATTCAGGCAAAACATTCCCTACAGATAACATTTAAAAAACAAAGCAAACTGGGCAGGCGGTGGTGGTACACACATTTAATCCCAGCACTTGGAAGGCAGAGGCAGGCAGATCTCAGAGAGGTCAAGTCAGCCTGGTCTACAAAGGACTGTTATACAGAGAAACAGTGTCTCAAAAAGAAACAAAACAAACACCATCCACATCCATGTACACACACATGAAACTCCCAAGGGCTAGGGCTGTAACTTGATGAGATTCCTTGAATGAAATACTGGAGATAAATTTCCAGCACTGTCACAAAACCAAGTGTGGTGACTTATGCTTGTAATCTGAACACTAAGTGGTAAGACAGGAGGCAAGAGTTCAAGACTATCTTCAGCTACATTTAAAAAAAAAAATTAAGAAAAAAAAATAGCAAACAAACAAAAATTAGTATATCCATCCTCTTTACAGTTTAAGCAGGTTTTGTTCCCAGTCTGAGAATTTACACTCTGATGAGTTCCCAAGTGATGTTGATGCCACTGGCTTGTATGGCTTTCTGAACATGCCTTGATGGAGGGGGTGGTGTGGTGTTGGGAGTCCATGTGACTCTTACAATTGTGCTGTTTGTATTTAGAATTTTCATCTCTACCATTTTAGGATTTGAACAGTATCTTGTTATTATTTAATACTTGTGTTGGGGCATCACTTTAATCCCAGTACTGAGGCAGAGGCAGGTATCTGTGAGTTTGAAGGCAGCTTGGTCTACATAGGGAATTCCAGACCAGCTGGAGCTATAATAGTGAGCCTGTCTCAGAAAAAAATACAAGAACCTCACCAAATTGTACACATACACACATAACCCCGAGGCTTCTTGATCTCAAACCAAAAACAAAACAAAAAAAATCTGGACCCAAATCTCTACAGTGAGTATAGGTAATATTGAGTTATTCCTGGCAACCTTTCTAATCCCTGGTGGTGCTGGGATCATACCCAGGCCCTCATGCATGTCTAAGTGTATACTTTATTACTGCATTGTAGTCCAACCTGTGTTTTCTCCACCCCGTTTTGATATGTAGATCATGCAGCCCAGACTATGTAACCCCTCCCTTCCCCCTCACCAGACAGGGTTTCTCTGTGTGTTCTGGAACTTGGTCTGTAGGTTAGGCTGGCCTTAAAATTGGGGAATCTGCCTGCTTCTGCCTCCCAAGGGCTGGGATTAAAAGGCACGCACTGCCACCGCACAGCTCATATATGATTTCTAATTCTACTTGTCTCAACCTGCAAAATTAGAGCAATAGCTCTACGAGAGTCCTTCAAGTAATACAGTACTATCATTTCTGGTCCTTGGAACAGCATTTCCTCTGCTCCAGGCTGTTCCTAAGCTTTATGCATTGGATTGGGGTTTATAGTTCAAAGCTGTACATTTCTGATTAGACTGGGTTCTGTGTCATCTCCCTGCCTTATTCTACTTAGTGGAGTCCTGCCTAGTTCATTTGAACGGAGCAGCGCCTGCCCCTCTACCATCAACAAATAGCAGATGCATCACACATGATTTACTGGTGATAATTTATTATCTGTCAGTAGCACACAGATCAAAATATTAATCACTCAGAACTATGTCTCTATAGAAGTGGGGAATGATACAGCCATTCTGTGGGTGACTGATTGCATTTAATGATCACTTCTCAGGCTTTTAATCTTCTTCTTATGACGTTCAATTTGTTTCTGCAGACGCTCTATCTCCTGATGGTGGTGCTGGATCTCATCTTCATGGTGTTTCTTCAGGGCAGCCAGTTGTTCTCTAGTCTTCTCTCTATACAGAGACAGTGGCTGAGGGTTTAGTTTCAATCCTCCATCCAAAGAGATCTTTATTTTACTATCATTACATTTATTTGTGTGTACAGGGTAGTGGAGGGTGGAGCTTGTGGGAACTGGTTCTTTTCTTTTACCATGTCAGTCCCTGGCATCAAAACACAGGTTCATAATCTTGGTTACAAAGCACCTTTACCCTCTGAGTCATTTCACCGACTCCCAAGATCTCCAATCATAGCTTGTGATATGTAAGGCAGGCAGGGTTAATGGCTCACTGAGTAACCCCCAACCTTGATGGCTGAGACAGGACGGATTGTTGCAAGCTTGAGGCCAGCCTGAGTTCCAGTACACTTCAATTATAGAGTGAGAATGTCTCGGAAGTCCCCAACTAGAGGATGGAGAGATGGCTCAGTGGTCAAGAGCACATACATGGCGGCCTACAACCATCTGCAATTCCAGTTCTAGGGGATCCAAATGTTATCTTTGGATAAGTTCCTAATTTAAGCTTACTGAGTTGGGACTTCAAATATAGCTCAATGATTAAAAGCGCTTGTTGCTCTTGCAGAGAATTCAGGTTCTGTTTCTAGCACTTATATCAATATGTAACTGTGGTTTCAGGGGATCTGGCCTCCACAGGTACCAGGTACTCACATAGTACACATACATACATGCAGGGAATATACTCGCATACATAAAAAATAAGAGCTGTAGAGATGGCTCTTAGGTTAGAAGCATGTATTTCTCTTCCAGAAGAACCCAAATTCAATTCCTAGCACCAATTTTGGGCAGTTCACAACTTCAGGGGATCTACGAGGGTCCCCACATACTTGGCCCAAGCATGCACGCATGTATGTACACACACACATTTAAATAAAGATGCACACCACTATGATCAGCTTTTTCTTTTTTTTGGGGGGGGGGTCAAGAGAGGGTTTTTCTGTAGCTTTGGAGCCTGTCTTGGCAGTTACTTGGTAGACCAGGTTGGCCTCAAACTCAGAGAGATCCACCTGTCTCTGCCTGCTGAATGCTGGGAATGAAGACATGCGCCACTACCAACCAGCTTTTTTTAAAAAAGACTTCTTTTAAAAAAGATGTATTTATTTCTTATGTATACAATCTCTGCCTGCATATATGCCTGTACATCAAGGAGGGCATCAGATCTCATTATAGAGAGTTGTGAACCACCAAGTGGTTGCTGGGAATTGAACTCAGGATCTCTGGAAGAGCAGCCAGTGCTCTTAACCTCTGAGCCATCACCCCAGCCCCAAGATCTATTTATTTTTATTTTATGTATATGAGTGTTTTGACTGCAATTTTATTTTATGTATTTATTTTTGGAGACAGGGTCTCTTTATGTATGGCAGTCCTGGAACTTGATATGGAGACCAGACTGACCTTGAACTCAGAGAGCTTTTCTTCCCTCTGCCTCCAGCGTGTTGGGATTAAAGGTACGTACTATACCTGGAATCTGCATGTATGTTTATATATCACATGCACGCACTGTCCATGTGGGCCAGAAGAGGGTGTGGGATGCCACGGAACTGGAGCTATACACAGTTATTAGACACCATGTGGGCACTGGCAATAGAAACCGGTTCCTCTGGAAAAACAGTGTTCTTAACCTCCCGAGCCATCTCTTCAGCCCCTGCATACTGCTCTTGAAGAAGACCTCAGTTTGGTTACTGCATTTAACTTTAGTACCAGGGGCATCCATTGACTCTGGCTTCCCCGGGCACCTGATTTCAGTACTACCTAAGGTAAAGGATAGATGTTCCAAGGCAGGAGTGGTGGTATGCCCCTAATCCCAACACTTAGAAGGCAGAGGCAAGAGAATTGCCATCTTGACGATTGTTTTTTGGTACTGAAACTTGAACCCGAGGCATCTGCTTGCTTTAAGCTCTTAATTCAAAATTGAGCGACAACCCCTATAGGCCTAGGCCAATCCTTAGGAGACCAAAGGAGATAAGGCAGCAAGATTAGTTTCTGCTTGCTCTCCAGCATGTACAGAAGTTAGTTAAAGATAATTTGGGGTTGGGAAAAGTTATATATAGGTGTAGTTCACTCCCTATTTCTAACCAGTCGAAAAAATTTACAACCAGGGTCTGGGTACAGCAAAAGTCTCCCGGAGTTGGGCGGGGAGGGTCGGTCTAATCCTTAACAGGTACTACAGGCTCTTCCGAAGAACTGAAGACACGTGGCGGATCTGGAAATGGCTGAAAGGGTCTAAAGTCTCAGGGAATGAACGCAGCCTTAAAAAACTAATGCTCGAGGTGGGGGGAGGGGGCTGTTGTGGAGGGAAAAAAATGATTGACAGGCAAGGGAGACAGACTGCGAGGGTCTGCTCGTTCCGGCCGGCAGGATGTAAACAATGCTCAAAGCTCCTGGGTGTTTCCCACCACCGGGGTGCGGAGGGGGTGACCGTGGACGAGAAAGATGATAAAGGAGACCAGCCTTGGGCTGAGTCCTGAGGACCGGCTTAGGGATGTCGGAGAGCCAGTGGTGTGGTACTGATGTTAAATGTCTCAACATTGAGACACAATGGCTTCATCGACCTGGGAATTCTGCCAAAGACCAGGTAAAGATGGGTGGAGCGACAGAGGGCGTAGAAAGGACAAGGAAGAAGATGAGGGTTGGACTTGGGACCAAGTGAGCCTCACCGGAAGTACCGATCCTCTTCAGCCTTCTCTCTCTTTCCGAAGGCCCCACCGGCTTCTCGGATGGAGCCAGCGCCCGTGTCCATGCTCTCTGACTGCAGAAAGAGACGCAGACATGGCAAAGAGCCCAACGAGGAACACAGAACCCGCGCCCCGGGATGAGCGGTGGGTCGTGCTACCACCTACCGAGTCCGAGCCGAAGCTTCGGGGTTGTAGGACTCTCACACCCCAGACACCGAGCCGAGCCCGAATCGCCAACACTGAGCCTGCCATTGTCTCCTGCGCAGCTTCTCTTGCGTCGCGGGCGTAGCAGCTTCTCTCCTAGCGCGCTAACTGCGAGGGCGGCTAAGCCGCCAATCTGAACGATAGAGAGGCGGGACTATCGCGGGAATAGCGAATCAGGAATGAGAGGAGGCGGGGCTTCTAGCTCTCCGTTGGGAACGTCTAGAAGGAGGCGGGTTAATGCTTAACTAACAGCTAGTAATTTGAGTTTTGGTGCATCCTGCCCCTGGAGGTTTCAGAGCAGTGTCAGAAGATGAAATCTTTGCTTTTGGTTTCATTAGAATGAGGCTTGTCGTCCACTCCCACCTCACAGTCTCAGCCCAAAGGTGGTTTTATTAAAAATGTAAATGATGGAAACCCCAACAGACATCAATAAATTGGGGAAATACAAGGTTTGTGGCTGTTACGCCTTGAATACTGACTGCAGGGATATTGACCTCCAACATGCCTCTATTTGTACATACTAAATCGTGTTCATCCCTTAGCAGGTGTTCTTGGTTTTTGCTTATATTGCCACTTCATTCTATTCTGTCACCTTAAATTTCACTTTCTCAGAGAAACCTTGTTTGATCTTCTTAGTCAGTCTGTCAGCATCAGCCTTTTTTCCCTATCTCCCAGTTCTCTTAGAGCCTTAGAGGTAGTGAACTAGAATTTGTATTACTATGTCGTTGGATGGAGCAAATAACAACTCTTGGTGCAACGAAATAGAAAAGAATATCAAGGCACAAGGCTATGTAATCCCAGAACTCCTGGGGCACACTCAGGAAGGAAGAGCAGGCATGTTTCACCTAGCCTGTTGTACACAGGGAATTCTGGGCCAGCCAGAATGTCATAGCAAGACCCCACTTTAAAAACACACACACACACTCACACACACACACACACTCTCACACACATACTCTCTCTCTCACACACACACACACTCTCTCTTACACACACACACTCACAAACATACACACACTCTCACACACACTCTCTCACACACACACTCTCACACACACACTCTCTCCTCTCTCTCTCTCTCTCTCTCTCTCTCTCTCGCCTTCTCTCTCTCACACACACACAACACACCCCTAGAGCATGCTGCTAACCTTGTCAACTGAATGCTATTCCTGGGCCTCTGGTGGAAGGAGATAACTGACTCTTGAAAGTTGTCCTTTGATCTCCATATGCACATTGTGGCACTGTGTCCCCATAATTAAATACGTGTCATTTTAAAAAATAAGAAACTCTAAACAGACACTTGTACATTCATGTTCATGATATTTTCCGTCCCTTTTTCTTTGTCCCTATATCCCCTATGAGATCTATTGTAGCTCATTATGGCTTAAAAATCCCTAGAAAGAGAGCTGGAATTACTGATCTTCTCGCCTCCCTCCCAAGTGCTGGCAGGCATTTGCGTTCCCAGCTTCATAACACTATTTCATAATAGCCCAAAGGTGAGAATACCCCAAATGTTAAATTGCTGAAGGTTTAAACAAGTTGTAGCATAAGTATACTTTTGTGGAATTTGATGAAGGCATAGAATGGAGTATACTCTTATATAGGTTCCTCTTTGATGAATCTTAAAAATATTCTACATGAACCAGGCACTGGAGGCTCACATCTTTAGTTCCAGCATTCGGGAGGCAGAGGCAGGTGGATCTCCATGAGTTCAATGCCAGCCTGGTCTACAAAGTGAGTTCCAGGACAGCCAGGGTTATTACACAGAGAAACCTTGTCTGGAAAACCAAAATCAACAACAAAATGCTACATGAAAGAACTAAATAGAAAAGGTATTGTATAGGTAGATTTCATCCACGGGAAATGTCCAGAATATGTATATCCAGAGACAACGGTGGGGTGGGGGAGATGTTTAGTGAGTGCCAAGTGTGCTTTTTTGTTTTGTTTTGTTTTTTGAGACATGATTTCTCTGTGAAACAGTCCTGTCTGCCCCGGAGCTCACTCTGTAGACCAGGTCAAATGTGCTTTTTAAAAGAATAATTGTATTTATTTATTTGTTTGTTTGAGACAGAGTTTCTCTGTGTAGCCTTGGCAGTCCTGGAACTCATTCCAGGCTGTCCTCAAACTCAAGAGATTCACCTGCCTATGCTTAGCCAGTGTTGGCATTAAAGGCATGCGCCATCTCAGCCCGGTAAAAATTAACTTTTTTAATTAAAAAATTGTATGTGGTAGGCATGATGACACATGCCTCCTAGTACTCTGGTACTAGGCAGATCTCTATGAGTTTGAGGCCAGCCTGGACTACAAAGTGAGTTCCAGGAGCCTGGGCTATGTAGAGAGACCTTGCTCAAAAAACAGAAATAAGTGTGGTGTACTTGCTTGAGCTGGCTATGACATCCGTGTGAGGTCAGAAGGTAACTTTTGGGAGTGTTTTTTTGTTTTTTCGAGGCAGGGTTTTTGTGTTGCTTTGGAACCTGTCCTGTAACTAGCTCTGTACACCAGGCTGGCCTCAAATTCACAGAGATCTGCCTGCCTCTTCCTCCAAAGTGCTGGGATTAAAGGTGTGTGGCCACCAATGCTCAGCTCTTTTGGGAGTGTTGTTTTGTTTTCTTCTTTCCACTCTATGGGTCCCGAGGTCATCAGGGTTGGAGACAAATGCTTTGACCAGCTGAGCCATCTCGAGGGACGGACGATCCTTCTTTTTAATTAAAAAAAAAAAAAAAAAAAAAAGTCCAGTTACACCTTTAATCCTAGCATTCAGGAGGCAAAGGCAGACGGATCTGAGTTCGAGGCCCGCTGGTTTACAGGGCGAGTTCCAGGACAGCCAGAGATATATAGAGGAATCCTGTCTCAAAAAAAAAAAAAAAGAAAGAAAAAAGAAAAAAAAAAAAAAGAAAGAAAAGAAAAGAAAAGAAAGAAAGAAAGAAAAAAAAAAAAAGTTCATAAGTCCAGGTAGGAACTCGGGCCCTTTAAGTGCAGCTTGGCGGAGGAGGCGGTCCGGGAAGGCGGTCTTGGAAGGGTCACGTAAGGCTGCGCCTGCGCAGAACGGTCACGTGCCGGCTGGCCGGGAAAATGGCGGCTTCGGGAGAGAGCGGGGTTTCGGGCGGCGGAGGCAGCACAGAGGAGGCATTTATGACCTTCTACAGCGAGGTGAGCCCGGAGTATGGATGGTGGCTTCAGGGAGACCGCGCTCCGGCTCCGTCCGCAGCGGCCTGGGGCAGTGGGACGCCTCCCGGGACCGTTGGCCCGCGCCGTCCGGCCTGGGGACTGCGGACCGGCCGTGGGGTCCGTGCGCGGCCGCCACTGTGGTTGCTGGGGTCCCCGGAGCGCGGCGGGGCGGCCGGGCCTATGGACCCAGATCCGGAGGGCGGCGAGCTGCTTGCCGTGCTGCAGCCCGCAGGCCGTGGAGTCTACTACCGGCCGAGGCTGGGACCTTCCCGGTAGAGACGGAGCTGCGACGTACTTGCTTTTATTTGTAAACAGGAGGGAGGCCTTTCCCACTCTGCCATGAACGTGTGAGTGGCAGTTTCTGCGGTTTACCAGTGCTGAGCACTGTTCATCGTGACAAGAATGCGTTATATGACACCGCCCCCCCCCCCATCTTTAACATGACGAACCTAAAGATGATGCATGCTTGCTTCTGCGACGTAGCAGAAAACAATTTGGTGTCAGGTAGTCTAGGAGTGACCTGGGTCTCAGCCTTGTTTACGATTGCATCGCCAGCACCCAGTAACATGGTGGACGCTTAGCATATATTTAGTGAATAAATGAATGGATAAACTGAATCAAAGCTTTTGACGTCAGAGACCCTCATATTGAGAGTTATTGAAAGGCTGGAATCTTACCCACATCTGTGGAAGGAGGAGGTTAATATTACAAGGATTTTCACGACGATTAATGAATTTATGTATAAATAAGTAGTTTGCAAACTATAAAGTAGAAGTAAAGCAGTCGTTTTTCTATTTTTTTATATTTATTTATTTATTTATTTATTTATTTATTTATTTTGGTGCCCTCGGTTTTTTAAAAGTCTGTTATCTATTAGGCTGGTTGGACCTTCTTGCTTTAGCCCCCGAAGTGCTGGTATTAGAGCCATTATCTCTTGTGTTTTTAATAGTACTTGTTATGTAGTGCTCTCTCTTTCTGTTTTCATAGTGTTGGCATTTTTGTTTTACTCACAGAGGGATTTTTCCATCTTGGTAGAGCACGTGGGCAGGGCAGTTCACATCTTTTAGGCAGGAAGCAGAGAAAATGCCTGTGCTTTGCAGTAGTATGAAAGTGAATGTTAGGAATTAGCACATCCTCTGTAGCCTGTCTTTTTGTTTTTAAGACGAGTTCTCACTAAGGTTTAGGCTGGCTCACTCACCTTCCAGTGCAGGCTGCCTGGAACTAGTGGTGCTCCTCCTGCTTCAGCCTGCCATATCCAGCTTTATTCTTTTTCCAGGGTTTTATGCATGCTAGGCAATCACTCAACCAACTGAGCCAATCTCAGGCCCCCATAATGGTGTTGAATGTTGCTCATAGTTCATGGTTTGGTGTACTTGAATTTTCCCTCTAAATATTAAAAAAGATGGATTAATTGTATCTACATGAGCTAAATCACCTGTGATTCAAGGTCTGTGGAGGTGGCTGTGTTTTATTTTATTTTATTTTTTATTTTTTTGAGACAGGGTTTCTCTGTAACAGCTCTGGCTGACCTGGAATTTACTTTGAAGACCAGGCCAGTCTCAGGCTCACAGAGATCTGCCTGCCTCTGCTTCGTGAAAGCTGAGACTAAAGGTGTATGCCTCCATTGCCCTTCATGGCTGTGTTTTATTATTTGGGAATCTTCTTGATGTCTGAATGGGAGTGAAACTGTTAGGGTAAATTTCTCACAAATTAGGTAATTGGAAACCTTGGTTTTTTATTTTTCCTATGTATGAAATGGGGATAGTATCTGCTAAGTAGACTTGTTAACATAAATACTACATGAAATTTAAAAAATTGTGTGTAGGATATATGTGTGTACATATATCATGTATGCACATAATGGGCACAGATGTGTGTGGGAGGACAGATGTCAGTGTCATGTATCTTTTGCCATCCATGTTGATTTTATGAGACAAGATTTTTCACAGAACCTGACTCACCAAGTGGCAAGCCTGGCTGTCTAGTGAGTTCTGGGGATGTACCTGTCTCCTTCCCTAGTTCTGGGGTTGCAGGCTCACGTGCCCATGCTCAGCTTTCACGTGGATGCTGGAGATTTGAACTAGTATTGTAAAATTAGTTATGCTACTGTCATTATTCTTTGGAGCTTAGTAAAGGTCTTATACGTGGTAGATACAAGTAAATGTTGAGCATGTTAATATTGTATTAAAGTTGACATTCAGCTTATTGTTTTTACTAATGGAATTATTAATCCTTATACTTTTAGGTGAAACAAATAGAGAAGAGAGATTCAGTTCTAACATCCAAAAATCAGATTGAAAGATTGACTCGTCCTGGTTCCTCGTACTTTAACCTGAACCCATTTGAGGTGAGTAGATTGTCACAAAGAGCTTTTCATGTGTGCAAACAGAGTACCTTGTGTTTATTGTGTTGTCGTTGCAGCATCTGTGGTAGATAGCTTTCCATATATGTAGACTTGTGTGTGTGAGAGGTCTTCTCTCTCTCTCTCTCTCTCTCTCTCTCTCTCTCTCTCTCTCTCTCTCTCTCACACACACACACACACACACACACACACATTTGGAGACAGGAGACAGTCTCATGTACTCAAAGTTGCTTTTGAACTCCAAATCCTCCTCCAACCTCCCAAATGCAGAGATTGTAGAAATGAACCACCACACCTGGCTATTTTTGAAACAGGATCTCACTGTAGCTGCCATGGCCTGGAGCTCACTTTATATCCCAGGTTGGCCTTAGGCTGTTTGTGATTCTCCTGCCTCAGAATCTAAGTACTGGGATTATAGGTGTAAACCATTGTCCCTGGTTTGGAGGCAGGCAGATTTATGTTAGAGTATACATCTAAATTACATTGGTTGGGAATGAAAAAGGAGGTGAAATGGTAGAATTTGTACTGTGGGTAGGTTGTCTTTGAAGATGGATAATTTTATTGTGAGAAGAGTTAGCAAGATCAGTTGTTAAAGAAAATGGGATAGATTTGTCCTGTCAAATGTTCTCCAGTACTTTAGTAGCCAGAATATACAAAGATTTATTTTTGATATGGAGACATCACTGAGCCTGATAAATTTAGGGTCTGTGTTTTTTTTAAAAAATGTAATTCCAGGTAGCCTGTACTCTCTGCACTTGGTAGACTGAGGGTGGAATAACCCTACAAATGTGAGGCCAGTCTGGTCACATAGCAAGGCTGGGCCAGCTAGGGCTCCAGTGAGATCCTGTTTCCAAAAAAAAAAAAAAAAAAATATATATATATATATATGTGTGTGTGTATGTATATATATGTATATATATATATAAATAAAAAGAAGCAAACAAAAACTTTTAAAAACTTTTTGTTACATGAAAGTAAAAGATACCAAATATTCAGTAAAAACAGACTGAAGATTTTTAGATAAGCTAATGCACTCTGTGTTTTTGAACTTATCTCCTCCAGTGTGTATCTCAGAGTGGCTCAGCCTAGCACTTACATCTCCATCACCCTCCTGAGTGCTGGGAGTGTAGTGTGCACCACCCACCAATCGTGGCTCTGAACACTTCTTATCATCACTAATCACTGTTCTGTCATTCGTGGTAAAATGTCGAAAGTCCTTACCTCAAATCACAGTAAATTGGCAGCATGTCTTCCTCTGTCTTTCCAATAAAGGGAGGCAGACAGATTCTGGTAGCACTGACAGTGTTGGGTCTGTTTCTCCAACCCTCCGTACACTGATTATTTAAAAAAAATTAAAAAAAAAGTATGCTTTGCCTGCATCTGTATATATGTGCAACATGTACATGCCTGTTGCCTAGGGAGTCTAGAAGAGGGTGCCAGACTGGAGTTCCAAGTGGTTCCTAGCCATGCTGAGAATTGAACATTGAGCCATTTCTTTCTCTGTCTCTCTCTCCTTTGATTCTGGGAATCAAATATCAGTTAAGTATTTTACCATTGTGCTTACTAGGTTGGCCCTTCTTTTTTTCTTTTTTGGTTTGTCAAGACAGGGTTTCTCTGTATTGCTTTGGAGCCTGTCCTGGAACTCACTATGTAGACAAGACTGGGATTAAGGGCGTGCACGACAAACACCTGGCTCCTTTTTTTTTCCTTTTCCTTCTTTGGTTTTGGTTTTTTGAAACAGGGTTTCTCCGTGTAGCCCTGGCTGTCTTGGAATTCACTCTGTAGACCAGGCTGGCTTCAAACGCTCACAGATTTGTCTGCCTCTACTTCCTGAGTGCTGGGATCAAAGTTGTGTGTCACCACTGCCTAGCCTTTTTGTTGTTTTGAGACAGGCTCTCAGATAGCCCAGGCTGCCCCATCTTACTTGCGTAGCTGAGGAGATTCCTGAACGTTGTACCTCAGCATTCCAAATGCTGGGATTGAAGCCTTGTGTCTGTTGCTGTACTCATGCTACCTGTGTTTTGTTTGTTTTTGTGGCTTTTCTGTAACATTTTTTTCTTGTATTTTTGATTGTGAGCCAAACCGTTAGTGGCTGAGCCATCTCTCTAGCCCCACTTTTTTCCTGTTTATTTATTTGTTCTTTATTTATTTATTGCCCCTTTAAAGATGCACCCATCTATTTATCTGTTTATTTATTGTGTGTGCATTATTCTATCTGCATGCCTTTCTGCAGGCCAGAAAAGGGCACCAGATCTCATTAGAGGTGGTTGTGGTCCTCCATGTGCTTGCTGGAAATTGAACTCAGGACCTCTGGAAGAGTAGTCAGTGCTCTTAACCACTGAGCCATCTCTCCAACCCTGGTGGTGGTGGTTTTGTTTTGTTTTGTTGTTTTTAAGACATGGTTTCTCTGTGTAGCCTTGGCTGTCCTGGAACTTCCTTTATACATCAGGCTGGCCTCAAACTCACAGAGATATCCCCCTGCCTCTACCTTCCAATGCTGGGACTAAAGGTGTGCGCTACCATGTCCAACTAAGATTTATTTTTATTTTATATATATTTTCTTTATTTTATAATTATGTGAATGTGTATCTGGTGTATCTGTGTGGGTTTGTGTTCATGGATCCAGATGCAGATGCATGTGGACCACATGGAGAAGACCAGAGGTGTTGGGTTCCCTGGAACTGTGAGTCACAGGTGACTTGGAACTGAATTCCACCTCTTCCAGAGCAGTGCATACTCTTTTCTTTCTTTCTTTCTTTCTGTCTGTCTGTCTGTCTTCCTCCCTTTCTTTCTTTTTGGGGTTTTTCGAGACAGAGTTTCTCTGTATTGGTTTGGAGCCTGTCCTGGAACTAGCTCTGTAGACCAGGCTGGCCTGGCACTCACAGAGATTTGCCTGCCTCTGCCTCCCCAGTGCTGGGATTAAAGGTGTGCGCTGCCAACACCTGGCAGGGAAAAGCAGTGCATACTCTTAACCTCTGAGCCATCTCTTCAGCCATTTTATTTTTTTTAGTCAGAGTCTCTCTTTAGCTTGGGTCAGCCTGTAATTCATGACAGTTCTGCTGACCTTGCTAAATACTGAGATAATAGGTGTGAGCCACTGTGCTGAGCCCATGTTGATACCTTTACCCCACATAGGTTCCAACACAGTATCCTAGGCAGCCTGACTCTGGACTTGCCCTCCTCGTCCTTTCTTGGCACTCCATGTAAAGCTATTGTTCTGTATGGGACATCCTTCTCACCCCACATGGGCTAGTGCTCTGCCTAAATACTTCCTCTTGTGTGTGGTCACTCTTCCTTGCCCCAGGTGAGCCCTGAACTCTGACACTGTGTTCTGGACTATGAGATTCCGTGTATATCACTTCACCTGGTTTTACTTAATGGATTTAGTTAAATTGCTCAGGGCAGAAGTGGGGGACAGAAGTCTTGTAAGTGGGGGTGTGTGTGTATATATATATATATACACACACACACATAACACATATATGCACACACATTCTCTCCCCTTTTTTTTTTTTTTTTTGTTTTTGAGCCAGCGTCTCATGTATCCCAGACTGGCATTGAATTTGTTAAAAGATGACCTTGATTCCTGATCTTCCTATGTGGTAGGAATCTAGGAATATTCCCCCGCTACCCAGTTTTTTGTTTTTGTTTTGAAACTGCCCTGCTTGTAACCAAAGCGGGCCTTGCGTTCATCTTTCTGCTTCAGTTTTCCTAGGATTGAGATGACAGGTAAGTGTCACCATGCCCAGCTTTACACTTTTGATCTTGGTTCTTTCAGGTTCTTCAGATAGATCCTGAAGTGACAGATGAAGAAATAAAAAAGAGGTTTCGGCAGGTACAGTGCTGTTGCTCTCAAGAGTGTGTGAGCCTGCTGTTTGTTTCTTTTGGGGGCGGGGGCCCGCATGGAGCTTAGGCTTGCCTAGAATTTTCCCTTGCATCCAGGGATGGTTTTGAATTTGTGATCTGCTCTTGCCTCCTTAGTTCTGGGATTGTAGGCATGTGCCACACCTGGCTTATGGGGTGCTGGACATTGAACCCAGGTTTTCACATATAGTAAGATGAGCACTCTACCAATTGAACTATATCCTACACATGATTTTTGAGGACTAGATACTTTTGGGCCAAAATTTAAGTCCCCACCCCTTCCAAATTAAGGCTAGATAGCTATTCTCATGAACTTAATGGCATATATGTATAATAGTATAAGATGTTAACTAATGTACTGAGTATAGGTTTTTCTGTGAATATAATGACTTTTATATCCAAATAGAGTGTCTACAGACTTATTTTTATTTGAAGCAGGATCTCATGTTGTCAGACTGACCCCATATTCCCTGGTTTATATGTTTGTTCTACCTTAGCCTTTAAGTAACTGGGATGACGGGCACATACCATCAGCCTAACCCACTCAGTTACTTATCTCTTGCAAACAGCTGTAATTACTCAAGAAATACCTAACTTAGGTTTGGGAGATGTCTCAACGGGTAAAGGTACTTGTTACCAACCCTGACCACCTGAGTTTGATCCCAGAAATCCACATGGTAGAAGGAGAGAGCTGACTGCAGCAAATTGTCCTGTGATTTTCACACACATACCATGGCATGTGTTCATGTTCCCCCAACCCAATAAATGTAAGGAGTTTTTTAAAAAGAAATACCTGACTTAGTGTAACAAGTACTTATTGAAATTTTGTCAGGAAAGTAGCTCTCTGGCCTCTGATTCTTGCCACTTTCTTTTTTTCCTTCCTAAGTTCTTTATATCTTCATGCTTTTCACATTTGGATGGGACCTGGCTGGTGCTGACTGTGATACTCCAATTCTGCACAGTGGTCTTATTAATATTCAGGGCTTTCTCCAGTGCAGTAGATTTCTCAACATTGCTGACTCACAGTTACCTCCCAGCAAGCTATATTCATCTAAGATGGTTTTTGGTTTTGCCTGCTCAGGCATTTCCCATTATATAACTTTATGGTTTTATTCATTCTGAGCTCTGATCTGTGCTTAAACTTAGCAATTCCCCCTGTTCCCAAGGTCTTGTTTTCCAGTACAGTCCATTAACATTTGTTCCCAACATAACAAATATTTGTCCTTAGATTTTTTTTGTAGCCAACAAACTTGAGTTACATGTTCTTACTGACTTATTAGATGGCCTTATAATTAAGAGTACATAATATGACTTTAGTTTTAATTTGTTCTCTTGAACAAGTGCTTTAGATCTTTCTGTGTCTATTTTACCTGAGTTGGTAAATGTGTCCAGATATTTAAATCAGATATTACATACAGTAGGCTTTCAATGGATATCTTGATACTTTGTATATGCTAATCATTGTCCATGGATGTTTGTGTGCAAGTTCATTCACTTCTTCCTTTCTTTTTCTTTGATCCCTCTCCCCCTTACCATTACCTCTTTTCCATTTACTTTTCGCTCTCATCCTTTCCCTCCTCTCCACCTTCTTCCTACCTATCCCACAGGGTCTCACTTTATAGCCCAGGCCAGCCCTGAACTCAGCCCTCAGTGTTGCGATTTCAAGAATGGGCTCCTATAATCAGTTTATGCTAATTACTTGCATTGTTTATTTTGTCCACACAACAAACTATTTAGATGTAGGTACTTTGTATTTTTCCAATGAGTAACTACTCAAGGTCTCAGAGCTAGCATGTGATTGAAGTTAGAATTACAAACTATATCTTTGATACTTCAGGGATTAACATTAGATTTTTGTCTCCCAACACAGACCATTTTTTTTTTTTTTTTTGTTTTTTTTGGTTTTTTTGTTTTTTGCTCTAACTAGTTTCTGTCCATCTGTGACAGGAATCTTATAAGTCAGGAATCTTATAAATGGCTGAAAGAATCATCTCTGGAGGTTTTCTTTTTTTTTTTAATAGTTTATCCTGTGTGAGGGTGTCAGATCTTTGAGTTACAGACAGTTGTGAGCTGCCATGTGGGTGCTGGGAATTGAACCCAGGTCCTCTGGAAGAGCAGTCATTGCTCTTACCACTGAGCCATCTCTCCCTGGAGGTTTTCTTATAAAAAGTTCATGTTTTATTACTTATGGGTGTGTGTGAAGAGTTCCAGCCACTTCCATGAATTGTTGCTGAGCCTGAGTTTTTCTCTTCCATGCAGTTGTCTATATTGGTGCATCCTGACAAAAATCAAGATGATGCTGACAGAGCACAGAAGGCTTTTGAAGGTATTTGTAAATTTACCTGCTTTTGAGTAATATATACTAAGTAATATATACTAAGGAGTAACTGGTTATGGAGAAGCTGTGGATTTCAGTTAAGCAGCCATTTAAGCAGAATGTTAAAGAAGTTTTCCTTGGGGGCTGGGGTGTAGCTCAGTGCTTGCCTAGCATGCTTGAGGCCCTGGGTTCAATCCCCACCACTTTAAAGAAAATGCACCTTAACCTTGCTTAGTTAAAACTTAGGTGTGTGCCGATATACTTTTATTACATAGGATCTTTTTTCTCTGAACATAGGTGGGAAATACTTTATCAATGTTTTAATCTAGGTGTGATATGTCTAGTTGAGAGTATATTTAATGTTTCTTCCTAAGACTTTCAAGGTCTTTGCTATGGTTGTATGCTTTTTAAACAATGAGTTTAACAATGGTAAATAATGTAACGAAGTAGGGAATGTTTTTAGACAGTGCAAGTCCATTTACGCTGCCTGAGTATAGCTCAGACTTTGAGAGGGTATTTGCAGAAACAGTTAACTTCAATGTTTTGCATTAGCTGTGGACAAAGCTTACAAGTTGCTACTGGATCAGGAACAAAAGAAGAGGGCCCTGGATGTAATTCAGGCAGGAAAAGAATACGTGGAACACACTGTAAGTATTTCTAGTGATGCCGTGTTTACAGGAAGTAACAGCAAGCTGTGGGCACTGTGTAGAAGGGTATATGCAACCTAGCAGTACTGACCACAGAGCTAGTGACCGCTTTCATTCTCTCTACCACTTTGGTGGTGCTCATGAAGAGCAGCAAAAGCTAGCATTCTTCTGACAGCTCAGGGTGAGGAGTGGGTTAGTACACTGCCACTCCCCCTTGCCTACTCCCTGTTGTGTAGATGGCCACTTTGGCCTCCCAACCAAGTTGCCATGCTAACCCAGTGAGATCCACGTGGAGAAGCAGCATGGCTTTGGCATTGCTGACTCCCTGGTTTTACTTTAGTTGCTGTGAAAGGTTTGGAAATGAGAGAGGCCGGCAAGGAGCTTTGAGTGGATTGTAAAGCAGGAGGAAGACTCATTTGAAACAAGTTATAGCTTTTGTTTGTTTGTTTGTTTGTTTAAAATGGGATCTTGCTGGGAGTACAGAGTAGCCTTAAACGTCCAAGATAGCCTGGACTGGCCTTAAATTTTTAATCTTTTGCTTGACCTCCTGATCCATGGGATTATATATAGGTTGTATGCCATTGCATCCAATGGAAAGCCCTTTCGAGAGTCTTAAGCAGTCCAGGCTGACCTCGAATTAGCTATGTACTTGAGGCTAACCTTAAATTTCTTTTTAAGCCTGGTGGTGGCCTTTAATCCCAGCACTCAGGAGGCAGAGGCAGATGGATTTCTGTGAGTTCAAGGCCAGCCTGATATACAGAGTGAATTCTAGGACAACCAAGGCTCTACAGAGAAACCTTGCCTTGAACAATCCCCCTCAAAAAATTCTTTTTCTTTTTAAAACTTATGTGTGTGAGTGCTTTTTTTTTCTGCATGTATGCATGTGCACCATGGACATGCCTGGTGCTCAGGGAGGTCAGAACAGGGTGTCATGATCTCTGGAACTGGAGTTAAGAATGGTTGTGAGCCTCTGTGCTGGTGCTGGGAACTAAACCTTGATTCTGGAATCCTGGAGCAGTAAATGCTGAGCCATGTCTCCAGCCCCTGGCCTTGCATTCTTGATCCTTCTCCATATCCAAATTCGAGGATAATGGGCATGGACCACCATGCCCAGCTAGAAAGTTCCTCTTTTTTTTTTTTTTTTTTTTGCCCCTTGGAGCAAGAATTTCAAGACCATTCATGAGCGATTTCAGTGGTGAGTGAATCAGAAGTCCGTCTTTGTTTTGAAGAGCTTTGGAATCTGAAGTGGAACTTTATAGGCAATAATAATAATAGTAATAATAATAATAAAAAGACAAACCCATTTTAGATGAAGACAATGAGGAGAAAAGTAGGAAAAGGAAAGGTGTGTAACTGGGTCCTGTTGGTTGTATTGCACATGGCACCTGGAGAGTCAGGAAGAGCCTGTGCCAGTCTTCAATTCTCTGTATTTTGCTAGTAAGGAATTATCTTTACAATTTCTGGCCACATGGTGGCAGTAAATTGTTTCTGAACCTGGCACGCTGTGTGATGTTCTCATATGTCACTTATGGAATAGTGATAGTCTCTTGTGAATTATTATTATTTTTTTTAAGCTTAATAGTGACAAGAGTGATGAATTTTTCCATTAGTGTGTTGTGAAAATTATGGTTTCTGGAATTTTCACAGTGGAAACGATCAAGAATGCACTTTGAGAAATCCCTTTCATACTTAAAATGCCATACATTTTCTAGATCCTTCTAAAGCTTGGCAAATGTGCTTTCTTTGCTATAACTTTATGACCACAAGAAAGCTAAGTGGCCATGTGGCTGTTGGCTATGGGTTGGCATTTATGAATTAGGGACAATCTCTGCTGGTTGCCTCTCATTAGTGCTGGCTGTGGGCACAGGCTAGAGTGGACTTGAGATGAAGTTAGAGGAAGGACCCGTGATTCCTTAGTCTTAGTTGCTTTATAGTGTTTTCTATTAAAAATTATGGTTACTGTTATCATTGGTGGTACAAAAGGAGGCTCTTTTGCCTTCATCTTATTATCCTATGTATCCTATGGAAAAGTACACATATGTACAGCTCAGTGGCTATTCTTAAAGTATGAGTGCTTATCTTTTGATGGAAAAAAATTCTTTTTAGGTTAAAGAGCGAAAAAAACAACTAAAGAAGGAAGGAAAGCCTACAAGTGTAGAGGAAGATGATCCCGAACTGGTGAGTTATTGAGAAATCACTTTTCCTGTGTGATTGGTAGGCTGAAGAGAAAGCCTCACTAAAGCATATATATGCGTGGACACTCATTTCCCCCCTTTTAAAAATTCATCCTGTGTGTATTGGTGTTGTAGGTCTGTGTTACATGCATGGTGTGCGTGCATGTGTGTTCATGTGTATGTACATGCATAGAAGCCAGAGAAGGTATTAGATAGAATCTCTCACTGAATAATTCAGAGCTAGGTTGGTGGCCCGCAAGCCCCACTGATTGTGCTGTCCCTGACTCTCAGCATTAGGTTACAGGCATGTCTAGCCATATTTAGCTTTTTAAGAGAGAGCTGGAGATTTTAACACAGGTCCTTGTGCTTGCATAGCAGGCACTCTTAACCCACTGAGCCATCTCCATCAGCCTTTTCTAAATGTAGGGCTTCTGCCACCCCTCCCTCTTTCCCTCCCTCCCTTTTCCCTTACTCTCTTCCTCTTCCTCCCTCCCTCCTTTCCTTCCCCTGTCTCTCTCTGTTTCTTTTTCTTTTCCCCACCCCAGACAGGGATTCTCTGTGTAGCCCTGGCTATCCTGGAACTTCGTAGACCAGGCTGGCCTCGAACTCAGATCTACCTGCCTCTGTCCTGGGATTAAAGACATGTACCATCACCATTTTTCATATGTACATCTGATGGAGTTTCAGTTGATTATTTTATAAGCCACACATGCAAAGTAGTATGTATAATTATGGTTTTTAGTGTTTTGGTTTTTTTTTTTTTTTTTTTAATAGATGTGTTTATTATGTACACAGTGCTCTGTGTGTATGCCTCCATGCCATAAGAGGGCACCAGATCTCAATATAGATAGTTGTGAGCCACCATGTAGTTGCTGGGAAGTGAACCCAGAACCTCTGGAAGAGCAGCCAGTGCCTTCAATTGCTGAGCCATCTCTCCAGCCCAAATTTCTTTTGAGATACATAGGAACCATAGGTACATGTTTCAGATTCCAGGGCTGGAGAGCTGTTCAGTTGCTCAGAGCACTTGTTGTTCTTGCAGAGGATCGGGTTCAGTTCCTAGCATCCATGTGGTGGCTCATAACTCTTGTTAGCTCCAGTTCCAGGGGGTCTGATGCCTACTCTTGTACTCTGCTGGCAACTATGCACATATACAGAAAAGTAGATATACACACATACACATACGTTAATTAATTAAACAAAAAACTTAGGAAAACCAGGCATGGTGGTTCACACCTTTTAACGCCAGCACTTGGGATATAGAAATTTGAGACCAGCCTGTGCTATATAATGAGTTCTAGGACAGCCAGGGCTACATCAAATGCATTGAGGGCAGGAATTGAAGTTGGGCAAGAACCTGGAGGCAGCAATTGACTGATACAGAGGCCATGGAGGGGTCCTTATGGCTTGATCAGCCTCCTTTCTTACAGAGTCCAGGACCACCAGCCCAAGATGATAGCACCCACAATGGGCTGGGCCCTCCTATCAATCACTAATTAAGAAAATGCTCTTCAGCTGGATCTTACTGAAGAGTTTCTCCTTTTATATAACTCTAGCTTGTGTCAAGTTGGCATAAAACTAGCCAGCACATACCTGTAGACACATACATATGCGCACACACACACAAAGAAACTTAGATGTGAAAATTTATTTTTTATATTTAAGCTTTATTTCTTTTTATGTGTGTGGGTGTTTTGCTTGCATATATATGTGTGTACCACATGTATGCCTGGTATCTTCAGAGGCCAGAAGAGGGCATTGGATCTTCTGGGACTGGAGTTATAGACAGTTGTAAGCTGGGTGCTAGGAATTGAACCTGGGTTCTCTGGAAAAGCAGCCAGTGCTTATAATCACTGAGCCATCTCTCCAGCTCACTATTTAGAACCTTTTTTTTTTTTTTTTTTTCTTTCAAGATAGGTTTTCTCTGTAGCCCTGACTGTTCTAGAACTCACTTTGCAGAACAGACTGGCCTTGAACACTCAGAGATCCACCTACCTCCCAAATTCTGAGATTACAGAGGTGGCTCATGGGTTAAGAGCATGTATTACTTAGGCCGAGGACCTGAGTTTGGTTCCCAGCACCCACATGGTGGCTCACAACTGCCTGTAACTCCAGCTCCAAGGGATGACACCCTCTTCTGTACTTGATAGGCATCTGCAGTCACATGTGCACACACCTGTATGCAGCCACACAAGGACACACATAGTTAAAATCCTGAAAAAAATTGCTGGGTGGTTGTGGTGGCGGCAGTGCACAACTTTAACCCAGCACTTGGGAGGCAGAGGCAGCTGGATCTCTGTCTACAGAGCAAGTTCCAGGACAGCCAAGGCTGCACAGAGAAGCCGAAAAAACAAAAGAGGAAGAAACGAGGGTGCTGGGGAGGGGGCACTTGGTGGTCTTGCAGAGGACCTGGGTTTGGTTCCTATTACCAGTGTGGTGGCTCATAACCATCCTTAACTCCAATTCCAGAGGACCCAGTGCCGCCTTCTTACCTTTGTGGACAGTGCACATATAAGATGCACACGCATACTCATGCATATAAAATAAACACATTAAAAAAGAGAGAGAGATAGAGAAGGTGCCTAGTCGCACTGCTACTTGCTGTACCATGGGCTGACTGATATCCATGGCTGGCCCTCCCATTTCTAAAGAGAAACAGTGGAGGAGTGGATGAGAATGGGGAGGGGAGGGGAGAGGGAGGAACTGGGAAGAGAGGAGGGAGGGGAAACTGGTTGCATATAAAAAACAAAACAAGAAAGAAAGAAACCATCATGAGTGTGGTAAACTGGTATATGCCTGTAATCCCAGCAGTTAGGAGACCAAGACAGAGGATTGCCTTGAATTTAAGCCTGACGTGGGCCACATAGTTATTAAACCCTGTCTCCAAAACTCACCCCTGCAACTGTGTAGTGGAATCTTTCACTTATTTATACTTGACTTTCTTTAACTCATATAAATTATAATCTCTGCTATATAATAACAGCTATATAATTAAAGGGCTTGGCATGAGCTGGGTGTTTGCTTAACTTGGTGGTAGAGGTCTTACTTCCAAGCTTGGGTTTCATTCCCTGTACTGTAAAAACCAGTAGGGCTATCTGCCTTTTATCTTCTTTCCTGTTTTTAAAAATTTATTCTTTTATTTATTTTATGTACATTGGTGTTTTGCCCACATGCATGTCTATGTGACACGCTCACACAGACATACTGGAACTGGAGTTACAGACAGTTGTGAGCTACCATGTGGGTACTGGGAATTGAACCCTGGTCTTCAGGAAGAGCAGCCAGCTCTTCTAACCATTGAGCTGTCTTTCCAGCCCCACCTTTATATTTTCTGTGTAATGCTGTGTTATCTTGTTCCATCAGTGTATCTGCATCTTAGAGTGTAAGGTGAACTGGTTACAGAGACACAAAACAATGTAGAACATGTTCTATCCTGTGTACTAGTCCTGGGTGTGTATGTGTGTATGTGCCTGCTAGCATGGAAGCTCTGCACCATGTGTCCTTCAAGGTCTTGGCTCTTCTATGGTTCTGGCAACAAGGATGTGGCCCCCATCTTCCTGGCCTGGGTATCTCATCATCTCACTCATGTGCCAAACAACAGAATAAAGGGGGAAGAAGGCATATGCCACTCCTAAAGATAGCCTAGAAGTTGTATATAAGTACTTTGACTAAACTTTGAGTCACATGGCCAAACCTAGCTATAAGGAAGTCTGGGGATTACTGGCTTTTATGTTTAGTGGCTTTGTCCCTTAAGGCAGGTTTGCAGTTGTGGTGGAGTCATCTGTGTAGGAGTTAGCTTGGTTCCAGCCCCTGAATCAAAATTATAAAATATTTGTAAAAAGGAGAGTAGAAGTTAGTCTTAGGGAATTTTTGCCTAAGTGCTTATGAGTGCTCTCCCAGAACCAAGTTCCTGATCTGCTTGGTAGGAAAGGAAAAGTCTCTTAGGTGGCTTTTCTCCCTGAAGAGACAGTGTTGTAATGTGTCTCCCTGCAGACATTTCAATGCCTAGTAGTAATCTTTAGGGCTTTAATGTAATTATTTGATTTCAGCCTTGATGTGAAATGTTTACTTTTATTTTCCTTTGTCCTTAATTTTCTTGCAGTTCAAGCAGGCAGTCTACAAACAGACCATGAAACTCTTTGCTGAGCTGGAAATTAAAAGGAAAGAGAGAGAAGCCAAAGAAATGCATGAAAGGTACACACCCATTCCTGTATTCATCTTCACCTCATTTAAATGCACAGATTAGCTAATGAAGGCCTCTGGGATTTTCCTAATGAAATTGGTAGTGCTTTGTTACTAGGAGAAGCTGGAGAGGCAGGCAAGCAGCAGGCAGCAGGCATTCAGCTCAGTGCTGGAGCTCCTGCCCAGCATACACAAGACAGGCTGTCTGAGCCAGTCACTGGTAAGACATTGTCTGTAGACTTTTGGGAAACACTGACTACACCTGTCCGTAGGGAGTTCATTTCTATGAAGGGGTGCTTTGTGTGTTGTTCCTTTCTGGAATGCAGTAGAATTTTTGAAGCTTTTGAGGCCAGGATCTTTTCTGGGTCTTGTAGCTGCAGCTGTGGTTTGTAGATAGGATTGTAATGGAATAGCTTTAACATGTTACTTACTGTTCTCGAGTATGATTTCCTCTGATTGTCAGACGTGTCAAGGTTGCCATTTGTGGTGGTATACACCCATAATCCCAGCACTTGGGAGGTGGAGGCAGAAAAAAAAAGTAGTTGGAGACTATTTTTGGCTAAATAGCAAGTCCAAGGCCAATTTGAATTACATGAGACATAGTCTCGGGGGAAAAAAAAATAATTGAGGTCAATGTGGCTTCTTCTGTATTTTGTGTTGTTGACTGGAGTAATTAGATTTTGCTAGTTGAGTTTGTGTGAAGTGTCATTTTAGGATTGGTTTTGTCATCTGCATGTTTTAGGGTGGGGTCTCGGCATTTGCTGGCTAGGGCTCAGTGTGTGTGCTGTGCAGCCATGCCTTAGCTCGTGTGGGTAACTTGCTGTGAGCATTGGGTAAAGACAGCTCTGCTTTCCCTCCTAGGAAACGACAAAGAGAAGAGGAGATCGAAGCACAAGAAAAAGCCAAGAGAGAAAGGGAATGGCAGAAAAACTTTGAGGTGGGTATCAGAGGTGGGTCATTCCAGAATAAGGAAGCTTGATTCCTGGGGGCTCCAGGACTGCCTGGGGCGGACAGGGAAATGGGATGTGTGGGACAGAGTAGGCACTAGCACGGCAGAGTCTGGAGCCACCTCGCCTTCATAACTTCTCCCTGACAAGGACACCGATACACAACCTACCAAATGAGCCCAAGGAAAATGAATTCAGAGATAATACGAAGTAGCACCCTACTTAGCTGAGAGAACTAAAAATGTGTGGGCAGGGAGTTGAGGTTGAGACAAGTTCTTATATAGCTCAATCTGGCTTTGAACTCACTATGTAGCTGATAATGACTTTGAATTCCTGGTCATCTTGCTTCAGCCTCCCAAATATTGGGATTAATGTGTACACTACCACAAACCACTGGAAACAAGTTCTTGTGAATTCAGTTATTCATTTTGCAGAGAGACTTCTGGTATTTTGGTTTTGGGTTTTTGAGACCAAGACTCACTTTGTAGCCCAAGCTATCTTGGAACTCAGTATGTAGCCTAGGCTGGCCTTGAACTCATGATGATCCTCTTACCTCAGCCACACCAGCTCACCTTGCAGCTTTTGAACTGGATTCATTGCTCTTCAAGTGCCTGACACAGTTCTGGGGTGCATTTGATCTGTCTTTTATAGGATTTAGAATTTAGGATAAAGCTTTGTTAACCATAATTTTGACTTTGTTTCTGTCAAAGGTACATGCAACAGGAACATGGTAAACAGAGTGGCTACATTCCCAGCTAGCTCCGTGGTTGAGAAAGCTAGTCAAACTTCCATCATTTAATGCACTATAGGCAGCTTTTTGTAAGTGTTAGAAGTAGAAGAAACAAGCTTGGGGTCTTCAGTTTTAGCACCCAGGAAGCTGAGGCAGGCCAATCTCTGGAAGTTCAAAGCCAGCTTGGTCTACATAGTGAGTGAGCTCCAGGCCAGCCAAGGCTATATAGTGAAATGCTGTCTTAAAAAAACAAAAACAAGCCAGGGCCTTAAATCCCAGCTTTCAGGAGGCAGAGGCAGGGAGATCTCAGAGTTCAAGGCCAGCCTAGTTTACAGAGTGAGTTCCAGGACAGCTAGGGCTGTTAACACAGAGAAACCCTGTCTCAGAAAACCAAACAAAAAATAACTAGCTAGCTCTGTGAGGGTAGCTTAGCTTAGCACTGGAAACATAACAGAAGGAATTTGTATGGAACACTGGCCCAGAGGCCCACAATAGAGTTATGGTAACATCACCCATGGTGTCCTCTTTAGAGATGCTTTGAGAGGGTGTTGTGAAATTTTGCTAGGTCTCTAGAGGTGGGAGACTGCTCTGATCCGCTCTCCTCTTGGACTGTTCCAGAGCGCTGATCTGGGCTGGGCCATGGAAGGGCAGGACAGGCTCAGCCCCTTTGCTCATTAGTGACCTCACCTTGAACTTCCTTTCTGTTTTCTTTCAGGAAAGCCGGGATGGGCGAGTGGACAGTTGGCGAAATTTCCAGGCAAATACAAAGGGGAAGAAGGAGAAGAAGAATCGGACCTTCCTTCGGCCACCAAAAGTAAAGATGGAACAGCGAGAGTGACCATCGGCATAGCCACAGCCTTCCCCAATTGCCTCCTCCTGCTTCAAGGACTCATCTTCCCCCACTTGCACCCGACATAGAGTAGTGTTTGCTTTTAGTCTATTTTGTTTTCAATACAATTTAATATCAATCAAAGTAATTTGTACATTGAGAGGAGGGTCTAACCTTCACCTCTCCTCACCCACGGAACCACCAGGATTGGAAGGAAGGTGCCACTGACTCATGCTGCCTTCTTTCCCCACAGCTGTAACTTAATGTTTTGTATTTCACTGAATTGTGGTGGCTCGAAGGTCATGTATAGTTTGTTGGAAATCCTCCAATTAAACGTCTTGCTTACAGTGTGGTGTTGCCGTGACTCCAGACCACAGCCTTGGCCACCATGGGGAAGCCCTTTGCTTGCTTCTGGGCATGCTGTCCTTGAAAGCCTATGTCAAGTAGGAGAGGCATTGTGGACTCACAGGGCAGCCACTTGATGCCCTGATGGATGTCCTGTGTTTGGTACAAGTCCTCTGACTGACCAATCAGCCAGAGTGGTATGAGGCTACCAGCCACTTAAACCTATTCACTTTCCAAAGAGTCCAGCCAGTCCCACTGTGTCCTCGCTGTCTGCATTCATTAGTGGTAATATTCTTTTACATATAATAAATTTTTATACCCAAGCCTTTGATGTTCTCTTCCTCAGGTGTAACTCCAAGGGCAAGCAGCTCCATTATCTTGCATGGCCCAGCCCTGAAAGTGGTTGGATACACAATAGCTTCCTACACTAATTGGCTGAACCTTACCTTCTTTACCTACAAAATGGGCCTACAGGGCTGGGGATATACCCTGTGGTAGAATGCTCATGTGTGAGGTTCTAGGTTCAACCCTCAGAACAGCGAAAATAGGGAACATGGCAGGAAGAGGGCTTGGTAGGAACTTTAAGTGGGCACTGCACATCTGACAACAACCAGACTGTCCAGGATGGGTGTTGTCAGTGCCCTGTGTGCGGAGTAAGACACCACTCACTTGGAGGATGAAGTAGCGTGTGAAGGCAGCCGCCTTTTAGTATATGCTCAGGTGTCCTGCTTGCTATGGGAGACCAGATCAGCCTGTGGGAGGGGCTTAATAGGAGTAGAAAGTTGACTCATGAGATGAGACAGTATGAGAAACTGAGTGACTCAAGACATGTTGTGCTGCAGCCTGTAGATGTGCCCAGGTGGGATGGCTACAGAAGGTGCAATGCACATACCTTCGACTTGTTCCTTGTGGTGGAAGTGGGGCTTGGCTTTACTAGCCTTCTGGCATGTCCAAACCTCGGTAACACCAAACGCCTAAACAAGGCAGAGTTGGGGGAAGTGTTATCACTGCAGAAGTGCTGCATGTCCTGAGGTGATGAAGGTTGTCCTGGGCAGGGAAAAGCTTGTGAAGGTTTCCAGGCAGGCAAAGTGCCGTTCCTTCCATCATACAGGGCTCACACATACATTAGAGGGCTTAGGTCCTGATCTGGCTCTGAGAAGACCATTGCCAACTATTAGGCATAGTTGTGCTTAAGGCTGACATGGAAGTGAAATGCTTGGGGGATTTCTGCTGAGTGCCTTATGGTTGAGGCACTGTGCAGAGACTGAGGAATGTTCATGTACTTGCTACTCTGGAGGCCCTTACTCTTGTCCTTGGCAGCCAGGGAATGCGTCCTGAAGAAACTGATGTTCAGTGGGAGTTGGCACAACTTCAATTGTAGGATAAAATTGCAGTGTTTGTTCCCCTACATCTGGAGGGAGGCAGTGTCACTCTCGGCTTCCGTGACACCAAGGGAACGGCCGTACAGTTGCTACTCTGTCCAGGAGGCATTGTTGTCCTAGTTACTGGAAACTTGAGGTGACACCACACCTTATAACGGCCAAGTGGAAGGTCCAGGAAGCAGTGTCCCCTGATGTGGTTGTCCCACAAATGGGTCTGAAGACATCCCCAGTGAATTTGAGAAGACGCAATAGAGAACAGGCAGACAAGCTTGTTCCTTTGGGTTGGGCACCTACAGTTTCCAAAGAGATTTTGTCACTGATAAGAGGAATCTTCTGGAGCAGTTGACAGTGGCACAGCTGGACAGGACTTGAGGGGAAGAGGAGGGGTCAGGAACAGCAACCCCAGATGGCTGGTGGTGAGGTCATACCCAGGAATACTCTGCTCTTCGAGGAGCATGGGGACCAGGGAGAATCTGCAGTTCAAGTCATCTTCAGCTCTTTGGATTTCAGTAAGGACATTGTATTTTCTAGAAGGAAGAGTCCATTTCCTTTCTGCCGGTTTGGCCATAGACTGACCTGTGAGAGTAGCAGTGGCCCTCACCTGGGCATAACCCTGCCCAGAACAGCTTTCTCTGTGGTGACCAGATAGAGAAAGGGTGCCTCAGCTTTAGATTGAGGTCTCACAGCCAAGCCTGGCCTCTAGGGCAAGACCTCTGGAGCTCCTTGTCCCCCAGAGAGGGAAAGAAGCTCCAGGCATCCAGGCAGCAAAGGCTCACTGGGGGTTCATGAAAGAGCTCCTCCACACCTCTTCTGTGGCTTTCCATGAGTCACAAAGCCATCACCCCACACCTTCCATGACACAGCCAAATGCTTCCAAGTTCTCCCTGGGCACAGGTAAAGTGGAAGGAGCCAGTGAGCCAGGGTCAGGATCTTGGTTGAGTCAGTAATTATCAACGAGAAGCCTCAGCTTCCCCCTGTGAAGCAGCAATTGTGCCTTGCAAGGCAACGTGCAACTGTTGCAGGCACCTAGTCCAGTAGATGAGGAGGTGGGAGGAGAGGGGTAAATTTCAGTGCAAAAGTTGGAACCCCAGACAAGTCCTTGGCTCTTGTGAGAGCTGTTGTCTGTGGCTTCCCCCAGACTAAGGGCTCTTCAGAGAAAGGCTTGTCTACCTTCCTTTCAGCTGAGGTTGCTTCAGAAGGCACACATGTCTCCTAACAGGTTAGTCATCCCCAAAGGCAGGGTTACCAAATTTCCTGGCTAGGAGTGCCTGTGGTATCTGTGATCCTCACTGTGTCCCCTCAGCCAGGTGGCTCCTGTAATCGGTTTTGGGGCTTTTCTGTCATGGGGCTCACTGGATTTAGGACCATCTTGTTGAAGTTTGGGCTCCAGAGGTCAATGTTGGAATCTTCTACAGTTGGACCCTTCTTCCTCTCAGACAAGGAGTAGGATTCTTTAGTTTTCTGCTTCCCCAGGCCTGGCTCTTCCTTCCAGATGGGTGGATGTGAGTATTTCTGGTGACCTTAGGGTTGAGGCTCCACCCAAGAAATTAGCTTCCTGGCCTCAGGTGTCCTACCTGCTCAGACAGCTGGCAGGCAAGCTTCCCCCAATTCTCTATCCAACTAACATCACCGAACGAACAGGGATTGGAAGGCAGAATACAGTGAGTCACACACTTGGGTCTGGGCCTGCCTTCTGCTTACTCCTTCCTCATTCTCTACCCTGCTTCCTGAGCTCTGAGGAACCCTCAAGGAAACATGATCTCAAGGAAACAGGTTCTCAGCAGCCTCCAGCCCACAGCTTTGTCACCTCTTGGATCAGCATCCTCACCACGGTTCAGGTAAGAAGCAAATGGTCTGAATGAGATTCAGGTGTAACTGTGTGTCTAGCTGACCCAAAAACCCACTCAGGCCTTGGATGGGTCTTCAGAGCTAGGTTATGTATATCTAATTTACCCTCACTAGTCCCACAATGGGAATACACTCTTGTGTGTGTTTGTGTGTTTTTGCACAAGCGCATGCGTGCACACCACACACACACACACACACACACCACATCCTCTCAGTCCTCAGATCTTTAGCAATGAACAGACATAATTTTCTCTCATACACATCATACGCAATACAGCCTGTTTGTGGGCACAAAAGTCTGTAGTTGATAGATGCAGGAGGATCATGAGCTCAAGGACATCCTCAGCTCTGTAGCAATTATGAGGTCACAGAGCTACACAAGACCCTATTAAAAATATTAGGGCTGGAGAGGTGGGTGGTTCAGAGGCTAGGAGCAAGTGCTGCTCTTGAGGAGGACCTGAGTTTAGTTCCCAGCACCCATGTGTAGTGATGTATTATTTATTATTTATTAAAGCTTGCCTGAGGATTCAGAAACAAAGTCAGCCACAACCATACAAGCCAGGCAAACACCTTTAATCCCAGCAGCCAGAAACTAAGAGGTGTTGGTATACATCTTTAATCCTAGGACTCAGGATTAAGAGGTAGACAGACAGATCCCTGTGAGTCCAAAGCCATCCAGATCTACACAAGATCGAATCAGTCTAAAAGAGAATTACAGCTCACACCTTTAATCCCAACATTAGGGAAGCAAGGTCTCAGAGAGGCATTAATCTCCAGCCATGAGGAGAGGTTACAGTCTGAGGCTTGGTGGGAGCTAGTGGAGTCAGGATCAGCCAATTCAGCCTGAGGTAGAGGTAAGAAGCTAGTGGCCAGCTGCGTTGCTTTTCTGATATTCAGCTTGAAGCTTGAATCCCAATATCAGTCTCTGGGTCATTTATTTATTCGTGTTACATATTGGGACCCAACCATGTCAGGTGGCTCAAAGCTCCAGCTCCAAGGAGGATCTGATGTTCTCTTTTGGCCTTAGAAGACACCTGCACTCAAGTGCACATACACACAGAGATACATGTATACACGTAATTAAAAAATAAAATCTAGCAGAGCAGTGGTGGCACACACCTTTTATCCTAGCACTCAGGAGGCAGAGGCAGTTAGATCTCTGTGAGTTCAAGGCCCGCCTGGTCTATAAAGCTATACAGAGAAACCCTGTCTTGAAAAACCCAAAAAAAAAACAACAAAAAAAATTATAAAAAAATCTTAGCCAGGTAGTGGTGGTGCACACCTTTAATCCTAGCATTTAGAAGCAGAGGTAGGTCTCTCTGAGTTTGAAGCCAGCCTGATCTACAAAGAGAGTTCAGGATAGCCAGGGCTACACAGAGAAATCCTCTTAAAAAAAAAACAAAAATAAATAAATAAATGAAAAGTAAAATAAAATCTTGGGCTAGAGAGATGGCTCAGCACTTAAGAGCATGTGCTCTCCTTGCAAAGAACCTGAGTTCAGTTTCCAACATCCATGTCAGGTGGCTCACAATCACTTGTAAGTCCAACTGTAGGGGATCAGATACCCCTTCACACACACACAGAACATACACACACAAAATATATGATTTAAAATAAGTGCAATTTTAAAATTCCCCCCCAAATAGCCAGGCAGTGATAGCACACACTTTTAATCCCAGTGCTTGGGAGGCAGAGGACAAGGCTATACACAGAAACCCTGTCTTGAAATGACAACAACTCCCCCACAAAAACCAGAAAAACTTAAAAAAAAAAAACCCCTCTACATACCCACATACCCACAACACACCCTTCTCATCCACAGATAGATCCTATAACTACTCATTACATACAACACATAAATTGTTATCAACTGACACAATACTCTGTTGATCATTTGCCAGATGAAACACATCTGTCTGAATGCTGTAACTTTGTATTAAGATTTGATAGGAAGAGACAACACCCCTTACCAGCAGGAAGTAGTTTGGAAGAATATTGTCTATAAATGTTTGTTTTCATTTAAATGGACTTGGTTATTTAAAAAAAGATTTGATAGGGAGAAACATTTCATACCTCTTGGCTTGTTCATTCTTCAGGAAGTTGTTGGCTATTCTTGGATCTTTGCTTTTTTCATTTGTGATTTAAGCAGTCATCTCTTGTGAAGTTCTTTGGAAAATTCTCTTGGGATATGAATGTGTTTGTGCGTCACGTAAGTGTGTGTGCTCATGTGCAAACCCATGCACAGGCATACAGAAGCCAAAGAAGGATGTTAAGTGTCTACCTCTATCACCCTCCAACTTATTTTATTTCAAGACATGGTTTCTCTGAGAATCCCTGGCTGTCCTGGAACTCTCTTTGTAGATCAGCCTGGCCTCGAACAAGTGCTGGGATCAAAGGCATAAAGTCTAGCAGCTAGTTTTGCACTCACTATGCAGCAAAGAATGACTGAACCCCTGATCTATTTGTCTCCACATTTCAAGTGCTGGGATTATACATGTGAGCCACATATCCAGTTGTTTTAGTTCTTTGGGGCCGAAACACATGTTACTGGTGCTTTGACCTGTAAGGAGCCATTACTGTGATTGGAACAGAGCAAGGGGCTAGCCGAACTACTTGGAACTGAGGTTAGGCAATGTGTGGAGAAGCCCTGCTCTCTTGGCCCTGTTTTGCCCTGTGTCACTGTGACAGACTCTGGTCCTTTCTGGGCTTCAGTTTCCCACAGTGTGTGAGGGTGTCAAGTCCACTGGTACCTGAGGGGCTTGTGTCCTTAGAGTCTATCATGGGACCTGGTGCGGGCTGTTCAGTGTATGCTGCTCAGCTGACTGGATCAATGAATGCTAAGCAGAGGAAAACCAAAGCAAGGGGCTCTGGCCTCTCTCACTGTGTACTTGGAAGTCCTCACCCGACTCACATTCTCACACAAACTCACTGCCCACACCTCTTCACCCTCACCCTCACCCATGAACTCACTTGCAGCTAACTGCACTCACTTGCAGCTAACCTCTGGTTCAGGGACTTCCTCCGGGCCTGTGACTCTGTGTTCCCATGGGTTTCTTGGTCCCAATGCTTCTTGGTCAGCAGGGATGCCCTGCCCAGTCTTAATGAGCACAGCCGTACTTCTGGTTCTCTGTTCGCATCCTTTTCCTCTCCTAATGGCCCCTATTTGTGTCCCCTCTCATTCCTCTCATAAATTCCTGTTTACATCAGCCGCTCTCTCTCCCTCTATCTCATCCCCTGCCCGCTCGCTCGCTGCTCCTTTCCCTTCTGACTCCCTCTCACCCTCCTCCTTGTGTTAACTGGGTATTTTGGCCACTCCCCCCTCCTCTCCCTCCCTTCACTCACCCAGGCCCAGTGGCTACTGCTTATAGCCACTCTGCCCCTTGCCTGCTCTTCAGGAAGCCTCTGCAGTACTCAGGTCTGGCAAGCTCAGCTTGGAGGTTTCTGTGGCATCCGTTGGAGGGGCCCCGGGTCACCGTGTTTCCTACCGGGGGTGACTTGGCAGTGCTATACTCTGTTTCCTCACTTCTGCAATTGCCAGGCTGCAAAACCGAGGCTAGCGCTGGGGTTTAGGCCCAGAGGGACACGCAGAGCCTACAGTGACAAATCTACAGGTAAGGAAGGATCCAGTCCTGGCTGGGCAAGGGAGAATCCTACACAGATGTCCTCAGGAGACCAACGTTATGGCCACAGGGCACACTAAGGCAGATGGGTGGCTGGATTTTTAAAGAAACATTCTGGCACCTTTCTCAGGCCAAGCTTCATGTTTAAAAAGAGTTCTTGTTTTTGTTTTTGTTTTTGTTTTGCTAGGCACCAGGCCAGACCCGGGACCTCATGCATGCTTGGGCCATGCTTTACCACGGAGTTCTGTCATTAGCCCTCTTTTATTTTTTATTACTTTTTATTTGCTTATTGTATGTATTTGTGTGTGTGTCACAGTGTATATGTATCAGTCAGAGGACGGTTTGTGGGAGTTAGTTCTCTCCCCTTCCCTTTTCTACGTCCTGGGAATTGACTTTAGCTCTTAGGCTTAGCCTTTACACTGAGCTCTCTCACCAACCCTACTTTTATTTTATATCAGGTTCTTTTATATCAGGTTCTTGCAAACTGCTGAGGCTGACCTTGAACTTACTGTGTAGCACAGGCAAGTCTTGGATTTTCTTTTCTTTTCTTTTTTTTTTTTTTTTTTTTTTTTTGAGCCTGTCCTGGAACTAGCTCTTTAGACCAGGCTGGCCTCGAACTCACAGAGGTCCACCCGCCTCTGTCTCCCGTGTGCTTGGATCAAAGGCATGTGTCACCAACACCCGGCTCGTTTCACTTCTTAAACATTTATTTATTTTATTTTATGTGTATGAGTGTCCTTCCTGTCTGTGTGTATGCTCACCATGTGTGTGCCTGGTGCAGAAGGAGTTGAGAAGGGGTCAGGTCCCTAGAACTAGAGTTAGAATTGGTTGTGAGCCACCATGCAGATGCTGGGAATAGAACCTGGGTTTTCTCCAAGGAGAGTCTGGGCTCTTAACCCCTGAGCCATCTCTCCAGCCCTAATCTTGGTTTTCAGCCCTCTTGCAGTCTTCTGGGTAGTTGGCTTTTCTGAACTGTCATCAGGCCTGATTTAGGAAGGATTTCTTGGGACTGAACATTCCAGGGAACTTGTCTTTTTCTGAGACTAAGCTGGAGCCAGCATGACCTTACTCACTGGGAGGCAATGATAGTGACCAGAGGCAGTTACTTAGAGCTCTATGAGCAGAATGCCATTCCTTTTACTAGCTGTGTGACCTTGATGAAGTTATTCACCCTCTCTGTGACCAGCTCCCTTCAGGCTTTTGGGGAGGAGGGTAAGCTAAAGGGTCTGGGACAGGGTTGAGTACTTGGAACCTCATTCACAGCTGCATTTCCCCAGAGGATGAGGAAGATAACTGGGTTGCTGGTACAAAGGAGTAGGCTCACAAACAGTTAAGTCTGAGGTGCTGGGGACAGAGCCCAGTGTGGCACTGGCCATCCCTCACTGGCAGGAAGTGTTGGGGTGAGGTTGACAAGCCAGAGCTGCTGGCTGGGTACTTGTTCACTAATGAGGGATAAAGGACCCTCAGCAGTGCCTCACCTGATCCCAGAGTATGTTGGGGGTCAAAGGGGAGTGACTCCCAAAGAACAGGGATTCCCTTCCTCTGGGTACCCAGCCAGAGGAAGAAGGAGTTGATTGGCCTGGGCCTTCTGAGGCTTCAGTTTTGCTTATGAACTGGGGCCTTGGGCACTTGAGTGGCCTCACTTTTCTTTTTTGAGGCTTAATATTGTAGGTTTGTGGAGATGTGTGCAAAAAAGGCAGATGGACATGCTAAAACCATACATCTTGCTGTGCATGCCTTAAAGAGATGTTTGTTCATTGTGTCTTCTCACCCTTAGCAGCGTTTGGCATAATGCATGCTCAGTGAAAGCACTAGGCTGGGTGTGGTGAGTACATCTCTTATACCAGCACTCCAGAGGCAGTAGGATAAGGGGTTCAAGGTTAGCCTTAGCTACATAGCAAGTTGAAGGTCAGTCTTGGACACATGGGACCCCTGATCCCTGCCCCCCAAATAGTATGTACTAAGTAGATGAAAAGATAGTACCATCAAAACTGTTCTTGTTTGGGATGGACAGTGAGCCGCTTGCTTGCCAGCTGTGTCCTTACCCTAGACCCCTTGGGTCACTCCATCTGATCAGTGAAGGCTTGAGCAAGGGATCCACAGTCCCCAGAAGTGATGACCAAATAGGTCTCATGGGTGAGTTTCTCCTCCTGGTTGTTGAGATGAGATGAATCCCTAGCATGGTGTCTGTTTTATCATTTTTAAAAATTATTAATTAATTAATTAGACAATTTCCCTCCCTCCACTCCTCTCTGTTCCTTCCCATCTTTTTATCTTTTTATTGGAATTAGAGACCTCCCCTCTCCTGGCCTGCAGATAAGGTCTTGTTGAAGGCCACTGACCCCATCCTTTTCCATAAAGGACCCCTCCGTGGATGGAGGCTTGGGTCCAGGATGGGATGATAGCTGTGCTGGAGTCTGGGAGCCCTGCTGGATAGGCTCTGCAGACAGAAGTCTACAAGAGAGTGGAGCCAGTTCCTAAGAGCAGGTGCTAGGTTCCCAACAAGGCTGCTCTGAGCAGTCACTTCTGTGAATCATGATGAGGGTAAGAGAAGCCTCTAATGACCCCCTTTGGGGGATTGAGTGACCTGTTCACAGGGGTCGCCTAAGACCATTAGGAAGCACAGATATTTACATTATGATTCATAACAGTAGCAAAACTGCAGTTATGAAGTTGCAACAAAATAGTTTTATGGTTGCATCTCTACGACATGAGGAACTGTTTTATGGGGTGGCAGCATTAGAAGGTTGAGACCACTGGGCTGGTGTGTGTATTTGTGGCTGGTTCAGCTGCTCTACAGGAGTGGGGCCTTCCACCGGCTTTGGAGAAGACTTCAGCTAGCTGATGTAGGGAATATGTCAGTAATTTGTGTGAAGCTCTTTCCAGTTCCTACAGCCTATTTCAATTTGCCAAGTGTGTTACCGTCTCCCAAACACTTCGCCTTCCACCTCCTGTGACCTCACTCCCCTTACACTCCTGCTTTGAGGCTGGCAGGACACCCCAGTTTACAGATAGAAATTCTGAGCCTCTGAGTGGGGGAAGAGATTCTCTCACAGTGGTGGTGAGTAGCACCACCGAGACCGGAGACCTGCTCCCTTGACTTCAAGACTGGGCCTTCCCTTCCGCTACCCTTCGGGCTTCTTCCCAAAGACATGGTTGACTGGTATCCTGTGGATTTGCTGCTTGTTACTAGGGAGAACATTGTGAGGACAGTGGGAAGGGAGCAGCTCCCTTGGCCATCACCACGCTGGGCAGTGGTGGCACACACTTTTAATCCCAGTACTGGAGGGGGGGGCAGAAGCAGGCAGATCTCTATGTGTTTGAAGCCAGCACGGTCTACAGAAATAATTTCAGAACAGCTAGGGCTAAACAGAGAAACCCCGTCTCAAAGAAACAAAACAAAAAACCCAACAACAACAAAACTACTGTCACCAGTCTGAACCTTGAAAGTACTGACCACTTCTTGTCCTACCCATCTGGTACTGCCTGCTTGCACACGAAAACCTGATGGCCACATTCTCCCAGCTGTTGACCATCAGATTACCACACACACACACAAAAACCTACCTCAAATACCGAAACAAATGCCATGTTGGCATTCCAGACAACCTTGGGATCTTTGTGATGGTAAATAAATCCCTGCCAGTTGCCATGACAGAGCTGGGCCATGCCCAAAATAGAGGAAAGAAGAGAGGACACCAAGGTTCCTAGAAATCTCCTTCCTGGAAGGATTTGATGCCTGCAGATGCCCCCCCCAACCCCCAACATCCCAGCCCTAGTAAACATCCAGGCTCCAAGCCTGCTGGGGGAAACAGTTCCTCTAGAATGTGAATGCCCCTTCTCCACTCACCATTGCATACAAATTCCTTTCTGTTCCTAGAACAATCTAGTAATTTGTGAATGGTACTGTGTTGGGGGAAAGAGTCTGTCAGTTTGGTAACAAAACCCTGTCGGAAGATTTTGATTTTGATTATTTGTATTTACACCTTATTTATTTAGAGACAGGGTCTTGTGCAATCCAGGCTGGCCTCCCACTTGCTATGTAGATCAGGCCAGAACTTGAATTCTTGTTCCTCCACCTCCATTCCCCTAATGCTGGCATTATAGACGTGTGCCACTACTTCATGTGGTATATGAAGAAAGGAGATTTAGCCAGGCATGGTAGGCCACATCTGAAATCCCACCACTCTGGAGGCTGAGGCAGGAGGGTTGCTATGAATTTGAGACAAGCCTGAGATATAGAGGGAGGCTGTCCTAGTGAGTATACAAACAAACAGGAAAAAAATAAGGGGAAAGAAAGATGAAGGGGAAGCTGGGGGGTGGTGTGGCAATAGCTCAGCCAAGCCAAATGTTTATCTTGAATGCATGAAAACCTGAATTTGATCTTCATGTAGAAAAGCCTGGCATGGGGCACACACTTATAATCCCTGTGCTGGAGATAGAGACAACTGTATCTTTGGGCATCACTGGCAAATTGGCCTAGCCTACTCAGTGTAAGACCCTGTCTCAAAAGATAAGACAGCCGGATGTTGGTGGCACATGCCTTTAGTCCCAGTATTCGGGAGGCAGAGACAGGCAGATCTCTGTGAGCTCGAGGCCAGCCTGGTCTACCGAGCTGCTTCCAGGACAGGCTTCAAAGCTATACAGAGAAACCCTGTCTCGAAACAAAACAAAACAAAAACAAAAAAGACAAGACAGACTGAACCTAAGGAACACAACACCCAGAGCAGCTGACTTCTGGTCACCCCCCACACACACACCCACACACACACACACTTTAATATACACAGTCATGCCTGGGTCAAGGTAGGTTCCTCAGCACACAGGAAAATTGGCTAATTCTGGTCTTCGCCCTGGGATTGTGTCCTTAACAAAGTTCTCCATTCATCAGCGGATAAATTGGTTAGTGCAGTGCTACGACTACAGGGAATCTGGTTCAGCATCTTCATGATCAGGATCTCTGATCCCTTCATTTGACCTCTATCCTTGTC